TGACATCCTTTCACAGCACCCACACCCTTCTTTCCAATCCCTTAGTAGCAGTTTCACACACCTTGCCTATATAATGCAGCCCAGAAAAAACCTCCAGGACCAATGTCTCTCCCAGGGGCGCCTATCTATCTAGAGTTCTATCTCAGCTGGGGCCAAGGTGGGCTTGTCAGAAAGCCATCATGTCAGGCAAAGCCAGGTTACAAAGGAGGCCAATGGGAACCCAAGAATGCAACCAAGCCAAGGCCAAACAACTATGGAAGCACAGGCTACAGGGCTGGTGAGACTGAGTCTTAGGGCACAGGGAAGGAGGTGGCTCCACAGAGAACATTCTATGAGGCCCCTCAGGGCATGCTCAGGCCCTGCTGTTCACCCTTCGTTCAGTGTTCCTCCTGAGAATCTGCTAGTTCCACTCAATCACTGGGTAACTGCTAACCCTGCTGTGCCCTCCCAAAGCAGCAGCAGCATAGCCTACTCAACCTTACTACTTAATCTTCTGCCTGATTCTGTTATAAACAAAGGTACACCACTTGCTGGGTGGTGGTGGCTCATGCCTTTAATCCCAGCACTCGGGAGGCAGAGGCAGGTGGATCTGAGTTCTTGGCTAGCCTGGCCTACAGAGTGGTTCCATGACATCCATGACAGACTCCAAACCTACATAGAGAAACCTTATCTCAAAAAAAAAAAAAAAACAAAGATACACCACTTGATGAGGCAGTGGTTCCCAAACTTGACCAGACCAGCTTCACTGTAGGAAACACAGGACCTACCTAGGGATAAACTGAGCTCCCCTAACTTGAAGTCAAGCATAACACAGGCAACAGTGCCAGTCTCATATGCAGCCGAAGTCCACCATCCCACACAGTATGGACACCTTGTCCACATAAGGATAGGACCCTGACATCTCAGGTCCCACTCTCCCTTTTCATTTACTTTTTGCACGAGAACTCACCAAGAAGTCACCTGCTTCCAAGCAGCAGGATAGCGGAGCTGCAAAGACCATGAACAAGGTTCAAATCATGGGGTCCTTCACCTGGAAGAGTCTACACTGGGTTGATGAAAACTCCAATGGGGCTCAGACCCCTATATGGAAAGGGCAGTGGCCCCTCCTACCAGCCAAAGCACCTGCCCACCCATAGGTGCTGCTAGGAACGAGGTCTGAGGCCCCAGACCCACACAGAGCAACTCGCCTAGCAGCTGTACTCACACAGAGCCAACAGCCCTTCTGCCCACACAGTGGGCTCACTCTCACCTGGACCCTTCATCCTTGTCACTCTGGGAATTCCCATAGAACAGCCTGCCTTTCCATACCCCATAGCTCCCTCTTTACCCACAATGTTCTCCTGAGGTAGCTCCCAGTCAATCAGGAAACAAGGGCCTACACTATTTCCACCTCACAAGAAACAGGAGGGACTTTTGGCCTAGATGCAAGTGGCTGACTCATCCTTTCTCACCTTAAAGGTTAGAAGATCCTCAATCCCCCTACTTCAAGCCCCAAACCATGCTTCTGTTTCATCAGTTATGGTGGCCTTCCTGAAGGTCCCAGATTGTGTCATGGGATCCTTCTTCCCACTCACTCAATCATGCCTGTCCAAGGGCCTGCCTTTCCTTAGCCTCCTGGGCTGTGGTGGTGTCTGGCCTTCAAGGAATGAAGCTGACTAGGGGTCCCCACACCCATCTCCCAGCAGGCTCAAGAAAGCAGCTGTTCCTCAGGGCCCTTCCCTAATTCAGTTCCCTAACCCTTACAAGTTTGCTTGACGCCCCCCCTCCCCACCACCACCAGTTCATACACACACAAATTGGACAGGCTTGTTTGAAAGCTTCTAACAGAAATCCAGTCTTTCTGGGAAAAAAGGCTCTCTACCATCCCTCCCTGGTCTGAACTCAAGTATCTACAGACATCATGTAATAAATGCTCTCAGGCTCTCAACTCCAACCCAAGAAAGTTATCAACCTCAGTCTCAGGAGACTCCCACTGAACTGGAATGATGCCCCTATCACGAGGCCTTAAAAGCAGAGTGGTGGTACACAAGTATTAAAGGCGTGCGCCACCACCGCCGGGCGCACGCCTTTAATCCCAGCACTCGGGAGGCAGAGCCAGGCGGATCTCTGTGAGTTCGAGGCCAGCCTGGGCTACCAAGTGAGTCCCAGGAAAGGCGCAAAGCTACACAGAGAAACCCTGTCTCGAAAAACCAAAAAAAAAAAAAAAAAAAGCAGAGTGGTGGTACACAAGTCTGTGAGCACCAGAGGACAGAAAAGCCAGCACAATTTAGACATTGTGGGCTAAGGACTAATAATGTTTAGAAAATGTGGCTGAGTAAATACAAAGTCTGCAAGAGTCTCACACATCTGGTGGGCAGTGGTGCTCCTAAGCTTCAACAAGCACCTACAAGATCATATTTTCCAGGGTCTCCTGACCATTACCCTAGCCCACCCTTCACAGCACCACTGCTTTTAAAAGAAAAAACAAAACAGAACAAAAAAACAAACAAACAAAAAAAACCCCAGCCAGGTGGTGGTAGCACACAACTTTAATCCCAGCACTCAGGGGGCAGAGATAGGCGGATCTCTGTGAGTTCCAGGCCAGCCTGGGCTACAGAGTGGGTTCCAGGAAAGGCACCAAAGATACACAGAGAAACCCTCTCTCTAAAAACAAAAAAGAAAGAAAAATAAAAGAAAAAAGAAAAACACCCTCATCTCAGCTACCTAAGAAGAGGCACACTATAACTGCAACACTCTGGAAGGCTGAGGCAGGAGCACAAGTCTGAGGCCAGTCTGAGTACACAGTAAGACCTTATCTCAAACAAAAACAGGGCTAGCAAGACAGGTAAAGGAGCCCGCTGCCCAGCCTGACAATTTAAGTTCAATCTCTGGGACGCACAAAGTGGAAGGATAGCATCAACAGCTCCCACAGTGGCAAACACACACAACAAATGCAAAAGAAAAAATAAAATCCCTGGGCTCTGCCAATAAGAACCTAGCATGATGTAGGCTGTGGTAGCCCACACTTTAATCCCAGCACTCGGGAGGAAGCGGTAGGTGGATCTCTGTGAGTTCCAAGATAGCCAAGGTTATTACACTGAGAGACCCTGTCATGAAAACACAAAACAAAACAAAACCCTAGCATGGCATCCAGAGCCCTCCTTCAGTCTACAAATGGCTCCTCCCACTATGTCTGCCACGCCACACTGTGCCTGGGGCCAACCCTCTTATAATCACAAGTGGACATTCAAGCTGTCTCTATCTTAGACATGGGGTGGTAAGAGGAGAGTCATCACTACCCAAGGTTGCATGCAGCAGCGTGAACTGCAGAACCAGGCACACTGAGACCTTCTAAGCAAGTCCAGTCACCACCACCCCCAAACTGACCTGCAGATGCCCTGCTTAGCCAGGCTCCAAGGAGCCTCTTCAAAGAAGCAGCACTTCCTTCTAGCCCACGCCCTCCTAGTGATCAGGCTCAGGAGGCAGCAGCCTTCAATCCCAGTGCACAAGAGCAGGGATGGGCGAAACTGACACCTCAAGGTCAACAGACCAACTAAAAAGAGCAGAGACATGAATCCCCTAGGTAAACTGAACTTTATTCCTTCTCACTCCTCTAAGTTTCCAAAAACAGGCCCTTTTCAGGAGCTTCTGATCAAAAGGGTATCATCTTTTGGCTCGAAGAAGCTCACATTCACGAGTGTCTTACTTTCTTCCTGAATGTCTTTTTCGAGACAGGGTTTCTCTGTGTAGTTTTGGTGCCTGTCCTGGATCTCGCTCTGTAGACCAGGCTGGCCTTGAACTCAGAGATATGCCTGGCTCTGCCCTCTTGTGCTGGGATTAAAGGCATGCGACACCACCACCCGGTGTCTGTCTTTCTCTTAATCCTAGGGTTTAATTCTGCATTAAAATTTCTCAGAAGTTCAGTTCACTGTCACAAACTTTTAATCCCAGCACTCAGGATTTGGAGGCAGGTGAATCTCTGAATTCCTGATCTACCTAGTGAGTTTCGGGAAAGAAAAAATTTACAGGAGAAGCAGATGGATATCTGTGACTTCCAGGCCAGTTTGTGCTATAAAGACCTTGTTTCCATGTTTTTGTTGTTGCTTTAACTTTATGTGCAAGGAACTCATTAGTGTTTAGTGTCTTTGGAGGCCCATGCCACGTTCCCTGAAACTGAGGTTATATAGGTGGTTGTGAGCCACCTGGGTCCTCTGAAAGAGCAGCACTCATCTCTCCAATCCTTTGGGTTTATTGGGCTTGTTTGTTGGTTTTGGGGGGTTTTTTTTGTTTGTTTTTCGAGACATGGTTACTTTCTGCATCCCTGGCTGTCCTGGAACTCACTTTGTAGACCAGGCTGGCCTTGAACCCACAAAGATCTGCCCACCTCTGCCTCTTCAGGTGTGCCACCACTGCCCAGCTTTTCAACCCTTTGTTTTTTATTTAAAAAAAATGGTCATAGTGGCACATGTCATTAATCCCAGCACTCTGGAGGCAGAGGCAGGTAAATCTCTGGGTTCTAGGCAAGCTTGGTCTACATAGTGAGACTCTCTCTCTCTCAAAACAATAATTTCTTGGGTCAGAGAGATGGCTCAGTGGGTTAAAGTGCTTGCTGACTAGCCTTCTGACTTAACTTTGATCCCCAGGACCCATATGGTGGAGTAAGAGTATACATACGGGGGAAATGAATAAAATAATAACATCTCTTAACAAACTCCAACTCCAGTTAAAAGGAAAAGGGTATTTCATGTCCTAACCCCACCCCCTCAAGCCTGACCTTGATAGGCAATAAAGACTCATAGGAAGATTGTACAGCATTCCCTGCAGCTCAATAATGCAAAACCCTGTTGCTCTCTGTCCACAACAGCTGACTTCAAGTGGATCAGAGGCTGTGCTTATTAACAAAATGAGAAATCTGATCTGTGGAAAGAAAACACTATGTGAGGATTAATCTAGGATTGCAGCTTGTGGAAGAGGCTAGGCTATTGGCCAAGACCAGGAAGTGAGGAAGGCATCCTGCCTACCTGTCCTCAGAGCAGGCACTCCGTAGCAGAATGGAATACATCACCTCTGTCCGCCTGCACCTCATCTCCTCCTTCCAGCAATTACAGCAAATCACTTTGGCTCTCCTTTAAGTCAAGGCAGGGCTCCCTCGAGCTGCTTTTTCCTCTATGTGAAGCCGTCAATCAGAGAAGATTTTTCTTTTCAGGAATTGCTCATAAAAGCTCAGTGACTAATATACAAGTCCCAACAACTGGCAGGAAAACACAGCAGGAAGGGATTCTGGGCACACAGCAGCTTCAAACATCCAGAAGCTGGTCAACAAGCACTCTCCAACACCTTACACCTACCCTGTAGAAAGCCAGGAGCCAAGCAGAAAGCTGAGCAAATAGCACTGACCCCACTCACTGCAAGCAGGTAGGCAAATGCAAAGACTCTTCTCAGCTTTTCCGGAAAAAGCTTGTAGGTTTTCATTAGAACCTTAGCTGCACAGGGCAGAAAGATCACCTGCAGGCAACATGACTTCCTGCAAAAACCCTAGTCTGAAGGACTCTGCTGCCACACATTTGTCTCTAGAGACCAGGCTGGCCCATCTGCTTTATTTCAGACCACTCCAGAAGCTCTGCTCCACCCAGCACACTTTTTCTCCTTGAACCAGAACTACAAAGTGGTCACAGAGCCTACAATCCTAAAAATGTCTGTTTGAAAGCCACGGATTCCAGATACAGGCAGATAAGAACAGGGGAGAGGCAAGGCCAGGAAGAATCAGAAGCAATAATAAATTCGGCATCCCTCTAGGATTTGGCTCCACCTCTCCATCCTGTGTCCCAGACGGGAAATCCCAAGCTCAGCCTAGAAGGTGAACCCCTCCACTACCTGCCCGATCTCCCTGCCCTAGGAGCAAAAGACATAGCTAACAAGCCCCAGAAACAATCCACAGCCACAGGATTCCTATAGGCAAGGAACCGCCCCTCCCCCACTACCACATATGTCAGTGGGGGTGGCCTCTCCGTGTTACACCCCTCCTGCTGTTTGGGAGTTGAGGGGCCTGTAACACAGCTTTCCAAATGCGCCTGACAATTATAACTAGAAAAGACACTGTGAAGAGGGAGGCAGAAGACGTAAGTAAATAACTTCTAAATCTCTCCGGCCAGCCGAGATCAGCACTGGACTCTCGTCTCGAGGCAGTCCAAAACTGTGCTGGGTGGGGCTGTTGGGAGTATTATCTGGCCTCAATCCTCCAAGTACGTTAAGTCAGTGCCCCCCTGGGAGAGGCATTTCTCCCAGCACACACACCCAGACCTGTGTGCATACGAACCATTCTGGAAGATAAACAGAGAATGACAAGCTAGGGCCCCTCAGCTCACTCCCTGAGACGGCCAGTCCCTTCCTCTTGCCACCCGACCCCCTCCCCCAAGCCCATCTCTCTTCCTGCCAGGCGGCTGCCTACAGCAAAGGTCTGGGGGCAGGGCAGAAAGCCCACCCAGCCACGGAGCCGGGCCCTCCAAGCCCGTCCGTGTCCCTGCCACGGCCAGTCTCCAAGCCAGGAAGGGGACTCAGAGGGAAAGGACAGCAGACCATACACAAGCGCAGTTCTGGAAATCGTCAAACGTTCCAGCCAGGGGCAGCCGCAGGCGCACAGCCGTTTGCATAATGGGAGTCCGCCCGCCTGTCAGGCAGCACAGCTCGCCCGACGCCGCTCGGATTAGATTGCTAATGAAAAGGCACAAAGAGCCGGCGCCCGCTACCCCGTCGACCCCGCACCACAGACTCGCGCCCCAAGACTGGCGCGGCCCTGGGGGCTTTGTGCCCGGAGTCCCATGCTGGCCGCAACCCGCCGGGCACCTGGGCCACAAAGCCCCGGCCGTCCGGGGTCCCGCGTGCGCCTCGGTTCGGGACTAGGGGCCGTGCGCGCGCCTCGTCCCACGCGCGCCCACGCCCCCCTCTCCGGGAGCGCGCCCGGCCCGCGCCCCCCTCACTCGAGGACGCCGCTTACCTCACGCGCCTGCCGTCGCCGCGTTCTGGCCCCTGGTCTTCGGCGCCCGGCCTGCGCCGCACGCGCCCGCCCTGTCCGCCCGCCGCCGGCCCCGCTCGGCTCCCCGCCCAGCGCGCCCAGAGCGCCGCTCACAGACGCCCGCCCCGCGCCATCTTGGAAGCTTGTGACGTCAGCTCCACCCGCTCACCCCTGACCCACATCTGAATGGGCGAGCAACGGGGCGGGCCGTGGGGGCGGACCCTCGTGGGGGCGGGGCCCTGGGACTGGGCGGGGCCGAGGGGAGGTCTGAGTCCAGGGAGGGCCGGAGACTCCCGAGGGCTGGACAGCGTAATGGGGGAGGGGCGCACGGGAGGCCCTGGGAGCCCTAACCCGGACGCCGACCGGATCCGACCCAGGGGCCAGAACGCGGCGACGGCAACCTCATCTCGAAATACTTGCCCCGCACACCCTGTGGAACAGGGACCCTGTTCTCTATCACATGTCTATGCCTAGCCCCCAAACGGAAGAATGCTCCGTTTTGAGCCTGACCCTGACCCTTCAGAACCCCCAGCACCATCACCACCTACCCGGGTCAGGTGGCCTGCGCTTCGCCTCTTCGATCTGTTTGCGCCCCTTGGTCTTCAACTATGCAGAATAGCCCAGTCTACAAGGTTTAGTCCCCGAAGACTGCTGGCTCCACGGTCTGGGATGCAGGAAGGCCTGCGTGGTTCTGATTTTGAAAGAAGTCCAGGCGTCCTAACCGCAAACGCCTCCTAGGGTCCTTGTGCCCACACCCACGAAGGTCGACTCGGCTTGCTCAGATGGCCACGAGGTCCCTGTACACCCTTTGCTTATCCAGAGTCTTCCGGTGACCGCAGCAGGTCCTGGGGGTCAAAAGGCAGCCTGTAAGACCCAAGGCTTGTAACCATCTAAATGTATGGGGGCTCACAGGGAGTGAGTCTCTGGGGGGGGGGGGTGCTATTGAATGGCCCTCTCTCTACTAAAGGAAGTCACCACTGTTAAGGTCAGAAAAGTCCTAGCCAGTGCCCACAACTGCTCTATAGGGAGGTAGTGACCCAGGGCCAATCGACATTGAAACCCAATTCAATAACCCTTCACAGAGGCTAATTGTGCAACCATGCTGTCCTCATGTACAAGCTTAATTCCTAGTTCACCCAAATAATACATAGCTAAAAACAGCTATCATCGCCGGGCGGTGGTGGCACACACCTTTAATCCCAGCACTCGGGAGGCAGAAGCAGGTGGATCTCTGTGAGTTCGAGGCCAACCTGGGCTACAGAGTGAGTTCCAGGACAGGCTCCAAAGCTACAGAGAGAGACCCTATCTCGAAAAACAAAAAAAAAGAAAAAAAGAAAGAAAGAAATCGACATTGAGATTTCATCTCACACCAGTCAGAAAGAATGGCTGTCATCATCAATTTAAAAAAAAAAGCTGGTGAGGATGGAGGGACCTTATACTCTGTTGGTCGTGTTGTGGCCACATCTCCAGACCCCTGAGCAAGACTACCACAGAGCTGATATCCTATGCAAAACACACAGGGGTTTATTGATAACAAGCAAACCCGGACTTGGTCAGCATCCAACACTGGCTAGCCAGGTGAAGGAGGACAGCTCTGAGCTCTCAGGGTGAGGGGTTTTTAAAGGGAAAAACCACAAAGAGGGTGATACAAGCCTTGGCATCATATGATTGGGTGAGAGTATGTAACCTTTGAATTTACTGGTTGGGGGTTACAATTACCATTTTGGGGCAGGCCTGGACAAGTCTCAGGCTTTGTCCTTGAGCTGCCATCGGGGCTGGCTGGCCTCGCACGTTCATATTGACCCATGCACGTAGCTCTAAGTTGGTGAGGGGTCCCAGACAGTAAACAACTGACTGAACCTTGAGCCGTCAGAGTATATACAGAAAGAGAGCTACTGCAAGGACTGTCATGGCCCTCTCAGAAACTGCTTGCTTAAGTCTCAGGAAACTGCAACTGAGGCCTGATCTCTGAGAGAAGACTGACAGCCTGTTATGTCATCTGCTTGGTCCTTTCAGTTGAAATCAGGCCAACCACTCTGGAAATTAGTATACAGTCTCCTCAAAATAAGACAAGGGGCTGGAGAGATGGTTCAGTGTTTAAGAGCACTGACTGTTCTTCAGAGGACCTGGGTTCAATTTCCAGCAACCACATGGCCACTCATAACTGTCTGTGACTCCAGTTCCAGGGAATCTGACACCTTCACACCAAAGCACATAAAATAAATTAAGATCTGTGAGTTCGAGGCCAGCCTGGGCTACCAAGTGAGTTCCAGGAAAGGCGCAAAGCTACACAGAGAAACCCTGTCTCGGAAAAAAAAAAAAAAAAAAAAAAAAAAAAAAAAAAAAAAAAAATAAATTAAGAAAAAATACTCTGAGACAAGGGACTGGAGAGATGGCTTAGCAGTTAAGAATACATACTGCTTTTGCAGAGGACCAGAGTTCAGGTCCCAGCATCCATGTTAAATGGCTCACAACTGTCGGTAACTCCAACTCCATGGGATCCAATGTCCTCATCTGGCCTACTTGGGCATCTGCACTCATTTGAACATACCTACACACAGACACATCATAGAAATCTAGATTTTTGCCAGGCAGTGGTGGTCCACACCTTTAATCCTAATACTCAGGAGGCAGAGGCAGTATCTGAGTTGGAGATCAGTCTAGTCTACAGACAGAGTTCCAGGACAACCAGGAACAGAGAAACTCTCTCTGGAAGAGAGAGAGACAGGGAGAGAGAGAGAGAGAGAGAGAGAGAGAGAAAGGAGATCTACTTTTTGAAAATAACAACAAAACTGGTCTTGCTTCTCTCTAGGTGATGGTTGTGGGAAGGAGCATTTTCTTCAGTCATGGTAGGCTGCCCTGACTCCCTGACTCCCGTTAAATAAGCGTTCACTTATGCCCCTGTAATTAAATTTACTAAGTCACAGAACAGGAAAAATCAAGTAGAACCAAGACAGATTGGTGAAAGGAATGGGATCAGAGGAAAAGAGGAAATGGGAAGAGACAAGAGGGCAATGGGGCGGGGGTTGTGACCAAAATACACTATATAAACGTGTGACAATGCCACAGACTCATTATTACATGTAATTACTCTATGCTAATAAAAACCTTAATAAAAATGAAAAGCAGAACTCCTGTATGATCCTGCTCCTGGGGTAGCTAGGTTACCTGGCTTCCTGAGGTACCTCCAATCAGCACATCCTTGTTTATTTTATAGCCTTTTGCCGTTTTGTAACTTTTTTTTATCCAATATATTCTGATCCTGCTTTCCCTTCATCCAGCTGCTCCAGCTCCTACCCACCATCCCTCATTTGTTGCTGTTTCCCCCAGGTGGAAGGGTGTTGTTTGGGTTTGTTTGTTTGTTGCTTTGTGTGTGTGTGTGTGTGTGTGTGTGTGTGTGTGTTTCGAGACAGGATTTCTCTGTGTAGCTTTGGTGCCTGTCCTGGATCTCGCCCTGTAGACCAGGCTGGCCCCAAACCCACAGAGATCTGCCTGGCTCTGCCTCCAGAGTGCTGGGATTAAAGGCGTGCGCCACCACTGCCCACCCAGCTGGTTTTTGTTGTTGTTGTTGTTGTTTTGTTTGTTTGTTTTGTTTTATTTTTCAAGACAGGGCTTCTCTGTGTAGCTTTGCGCCTTTCCTGGAACTCACTTGGTAGCCCAGACTGGCCTCGAACTCACAGAGATCCGCCTGGCTCTACCTCCCGAGTGCTGGGATTAAAGGAGCGCGCCACCACCGCCCGGCGTTGCTGTTTTTAAATGACTTTTTTATTTTTATTTTATGTGCACTGGTGTTTTGCCTGCATGGATGTCTGTGAGGGTGTCAGATCCCCTGGAGCTGGAGTTACAGGCAATTGTGAGCTGCCATGTGGGTGCTGGGAATTGAACCCAGGTCCTCTGGAAAAGCAGTCAGTGATCTTAACCGCTGAACTATCTCTCCAGCCCCCGTTTTTTGAGACAAGATCTCGCATGTAACCTTGACTGTCCTGGAACTTGATAAGTAGACCAAGCTGGTTTCAAATTCACGGAGCTCTTCCTGTATCTGCCTCCTGAGTGCTGGAATTAAAGGTGTGCACCTCTAACCATACCAGCCTTGCCCCCTTTAAAAAATAAACAAACTGGGTGATGGTGGCTCAGGCCTTTAATCCCAGCACTTGGGAGGCACAGGAAGGTGGATCTCTGAGTTTGAGGTCAGCCTGGTTTACAGGGTGAGATCCAGGACAGGCTCCAAAGCTACACAGAGAAACCCTGTCTCAGAAAACAAAACAAAACAAACAAACAAAAGAGCTAATATCCACATATAAGAAAAAGGGTACCACATTTGCCTTTTGGGGTCTGTGTTATCTCACTCAGAATGTTTTCTAGCTCTTATCTATTTACTTGTGAGTTTCAAAAAATTTTTAAGAGTTGAATAATTTTCCACTGTGTAAATATACCACATTTTAATTATCCATTCGTCAGTAGATGGACATCTAGGCTGTTTCCAGTTTGGGACTATTATGAATGGAGCAGCAGTAAACATGGGTAAGCATCTCTAGTAAGATGAAGAGCCTAAGAGTGGTAGAGCCAGATCTTCTGGGGACTCACCACACTGATTTCCACGGTGACTGTACAAGTCTGCATTCCCATCAACAAGGGATGAGTGTTCCCTTTCCCCACAGCCTCGACAGCATGAGCTGCCATTTCTTTTATTAGTTTTATTGATAAAACTATTGATCTGGGCCATTCTTACTCATGTAACATGACATCTCAAAGTAGTTTTAACTTGCATTTCCCTGAAGGATAAGGATGTTGAGGTTTTCTACAAGTGTTTCTCAGCTGTTTATGCTTCAACAACTCTCTACTTAGTTCTGTTCCCCTTTCTTTCTTTCTTTCTTTCTTTCTTTCTTTCT